AGGAATAGCCTTCTGTATTTAAGAGTCACAGAAAGAAAATTCCACAAAAGACCTAAAACAGTCTCCCATAGTGATTCGGCATGATACTTGAAATTTGAATTTCCAAAATAGATTTGTGAAAGAAAACAAAAAAAGTTTCAAGAAAAAAAAAAATCAAAGTCATCAAAGACTCAAGTGTATGGAAGAGAGGTCATGACAGTCACATTTCTGGATTATCCATTGAAACAGTGTTGTAACAGGAGGAAATTTTGCTTCTTAGATTCAGGTACTAGAAAGTCATCAATAACATAAAGAAGACCTATCAAGTGGTTAATTAAAAAATAGATGTGAATAATTTGAAATGAAATGGAAAATATAGACATTTTGGTTCAAATGTAGGGAAATTTTTCTTCAGTGGCAATTTTGTGTGTGAAATTTGAGTCAGGTCTGCAATCTCTCACCACCAGCAAGTTTGCCTCCAAGTGATGTTATGCTTCAGAGATAGTTCCATTTTGTAGTAGGCTCTGACATGAAAGATGATCTTGTTTACAGAGAGCCAAATTGTTCTCAAATAGTTTCACTTTGTCACATACCTACCCCCTGAGTGTCATGTGAAGATGTGCTGAGACTTCTGAGGAACATCGTTTTAAATACCCAGTGATAGATGTAATCTCCGGGTCCCTGTGAGCCACTGACTCTGCAGGTGGTTCGCCAACCAGCCACTTGTCTAGTGGTGTGGTTTCCCTTCATTCAGTGTTCTCCTACACCTACCTAATCTTGCTCCACATTTTTTAGAAAGTGCCCTTTGAGGTTTGCACATTATCACAAATGAGTGATGTTTTTTCTTCACCCTTTTTTGAATTTATGGTGAAAGTAAAATTACTATAACTCAGGAAAAGAAAACTTTAATTCTTAAGAGCAGTCCTTAAATGATCCTTCATGGATAATTGCAATACTGACCACATGTTATATCCTCTGTTAATATCTTATCTGCATAATGTAATTTAATTCTCAAAATAATACCATGCTGTACATACTATCCAACCAATGGGAGACTGGGGCAGCAATAAGTATTTTGTCCAACATTATACAGTAGTAAGTGACAGGTCTGGAATTTTATTATTTTTGTTTTATTTTGTAAAATATTTCTTTTTTAAAAAAAAGATTTATTTATGCATACAAAAACTGGGGTACAGGCCAGAGGTGCTGGGGGGTGAGAGGATTCACCAGGAACAGAATGGGGAACAGAACAGGCAAGGATTGACTGAAATACACTGCTGAGAGAAGCAGTGGGCAAGTCAAGAGAGGTCTGCTCTGCCATCTGGGTAAGCTCCCTGGCCAGGTATCAAACTCATTCTGCAGTGGCTGTGGATAGATTCATAGTGTTATGTCTTAACCCCTTACATCACCAGGGAGGCCCCCAGGTCTGGAATTTTAATCCAGGCCCACCTGACTTCACCCAGTATCTTCTTCATAATACATGAGGAAACTGAGACCCAGAAGGTGTTTTATTCAGTTTCTAGCTAACCTGCAGTAAAGGATGGAAACCCATGGTCTCTAATTAATGGTCCAGTACTGTATTCTACCTACTGCTTCTGACAGGGGTCCCCAGAAGGTTATAAGGCAAGTGTTAATAAGGGGTCATGGTTTTGTGGTTCTATAAAGTTTGTTGAGTTTGTGTTTAGAAACAGACAGGTTTAATAGTACTCATGAGAATAAGGAAAATTAAAATACTACTCAATATCTGACAAAATATTTGCAGACCTCTGGTGCTTTATTAAGCTGACAAAATTGAGTGAAGTGGATTTAGCCAGTGTTTTATAAATCCCACAAATGAAATCTCCTTATAAAAATCCTCTCACAAAGGTTTAACATCTCTCTTGTGTTGGAATGTATGACTTTCAAATAGGTCTGCCAGTGGCATAGAAGAAATTATAAATGTTGTAGCAGCAATGAGAACATTTCCTAGATATCCGAGTCCTTATTTGGTGGTAGGGAGGGATGGGAGAAAAACAGGAGCTGCCAATAGCAGAATCTTAATAAATTCCCACATGTTTTTCTAAACCTTTTCTCATTGTAGCTTCCACCCCCTTCTCACCAGTCTCTATTGGTAGCTATAAAACATTCCCAGACTCTAGAAGAGTGCCTGACCCATCATAAATATTCACTAAATATTTATTGAGTGATACATGTTGGTGTGTGGCTATTGATATTAAAAAAGAAAGAAAAAGTTGCTCTTCTCAAAGTTTCTTTCTAGAAAAGTGCAATAAAACATTCTATATTTTTCAGGCTAAGCATCATGTGGGTGATTCTAGATATTGGCATGAGGAATTGTTCCTGACAAATAAGTGAGTTAAGAAAAGAATATAATGTATTAATGTGACTTATGTTGCTGTCCCTTACAAAGAAGGATGCATGATACTATGAGGTCTGGAAAAAAGGCGTGGGGGGTGGGGGGACAGGGACAGAGAGAAGGATTGAGGGAAAACCTTGCATTGAACTTCAATTCAACTCCTTGAATTGAAATATAGCTTATTTTTCCCCCAGTTTTTAAGATTCATCAATAAGTGGGAGGTGATTTTTGATCTGTGACTGAGTAATAATCCGCAAAAGTTTGTGCTTCAGGTTGTGAGTCTTAAGTCATATGGTGTTTTTTCTTCCTTTCAACAAAACTATATACATGAATCCTGATAAAAATGGGAACTATGTCCGCCTCTTCCTCTGCATGTTATTGGCTCTCTCTCTGTACACTTTCTACTATGGCTTCAATTATTTAAGTTTATGGGGTTTTGTAGTAAACTGTTACAGACTCCTGCATAAATATGGAAGATCAGGGCTCTCTTCCCAAGGAAAGTAAAGCCTATATGGAAACCACTTTGAAAAAAGTTTCTGTACAACGTAAAAAAGGCCCAGTGATGGGGGAAGTGCTAAATCTAAACTAAGAGTAGAGAAGGAAACAGTCATACAAATTGATCAAAATTGTTTCAAAGTTAGATTTTTGAAGTGTACTAAAATCATTAATGTCAAAGATGTTTACTGCTACTACCTTACTGACAGAATAAAAGATGAGATTTTTAACTAATGATAGAAATGTGATAATTATCCTGTAAGATGACAGCAGAAATACAATTGCATTTCATTATTTGGACCAAGTTAAACCTCTTCCATAAAATTATAGAATTTAACCCCTGTCTAATTACAGGGGTAAATTGAAACTTTTCTAATGCATAAGATTCTGAAGATAGGCCATTTGGATTTATGAATCAGGTTTTTAAAATTTTATAACAGAATTTATCATGCACCTAATTTAAGCCAGCTGAGGGATGCAAGTACTCCAAGGCTTACATATTGTCTAGTATTAACAAGTCCTATGCAATCACATACATTCAACAGATTCCAGGACAATTCTAAATGTGTCTACTTCCCCTGAAATAAGTATATTTATGTGTATTATCTTACAGACATGGGAAGAATAGCCTAATCTTTATTGTACTGAGTCAGATTTCTGAATTTAATTTTGAAATATGTTGGTGTATTGAAGGTAAATATACAAAAAGAAAAATATATTAAGGTAGACAAACAGTATGTCTACAGACATAAGACCTTTGAAGACAATTGGGCTACTTATGTATTAATGATTGTAAGATAATACATTTTAATTTGAATAGCTCTATAGCTTAAGCTTTGCATTTTCAAATCAAGGGATTTGTATAGTATCATAATATAATATCATCTACTATAATAAAAATGTGGCTCCCTTAGTTTGAAAAGTTCATCAAGTATAAACAAATTTAGATGTATGGTGAACATTTCATGCATAGCAGATATACACCTTTAACTACTGGGGGTTCTCTTCTATGTTCTTATCAGTAAAAGCCACCGTCTGAAAAAATGCAACCAGTTATACAGTGGAGTGAATGTGGCTCTTAAATGGAGTGTGTTACTCCTTCCCACTCTACTGAATGAACTGTTAAAAGACCAAGAAGGCTGTCATAGAGATATCACAGGAAATAAAGAACTTCAAGCCAAGGGTGTGTCCAATGGGGTTGGCATGGAATGACAGACCGCCCTCCCCACATGGAAAATCTCGTCACCCATCTGAGATATCACATAACGGTGGCAGCGCTCCAGAGACAGAATGAGCTCCACCTGTTTGCAATGTGTTTAGCTATTAATATTTATGTAGTAATTCAAGGGAGTAAAAAATGACAAAATGAACCAAGTTATATCACTGTTGGTGCTTTCAACCAAGATTTCTCAAAAAAAAAAAAGTAACAGCATGAATCTGTCCTTCGCTGTAGGAAGAAATCGTGTGACATCCTTACGATGCCAAGGAGTGTTGAAGAGAAGGCAGTAGCCTTGTCTTTGGCATGCCCCAAATGCTTACTCTACCATGACTTAATAAGAGAATTTTACTATTTGTAGTTGTGTTTCTGACTCATGCAAAAGCCATATAAATCAGAAAAAATATGTTCTCAGAGTTCTGCTAATATTAGCGAGTCATAACATTAAACTCAGAAGAGACAGAAATAGAACAAATTTCTCATATGAAACAAAAGAAATCAGAAAAATGGTTGTCTTTTATCAATGTACCAAGGATATTTTGTATTAGGTCCTGGCCACTGTCATTCACAGAAGCCAAAAATAGGTGAACAATCATCCCTGAAGATCACTTCCTTGATGCTTATGACCTTGTGATCCACTGTTTTGGCTAAATTGTCTTTGAAGTTTTTTGGGTTATTGTTTTTCTGGACTATACTCCACCTTAAGAAATGAACTTAAATGTCATGGTAAAATGACATATTCTACTGTAATGTCTTCTTTTGAAGACTGATCTTGCAATGTGTGGCATAATGGCAAGATGCAAAAGTGGACCAAGTATATTTAACCTCCACTTCTGCTTCTGAGCAGTAAGGCTGGTATGATGAAGTAGTTCTTAGTATTGGGGTCAGACTATGGGAATTGTAATGACAAATCAAAATTAGCTACTTGACTATAATTTTTTGAACTTTTTGAATCAGATTAAACAGACATACAAAGAAGATGGCACTGCATTGAGATAGAAAGTGGGGTGATGGAGCTGCAAACCAAAGAATGCCTCAGACCCCAGAAATTGGAAGAAGCAAGGAGTGGATTTTCCCCTAGAGGCTCTGGCTGGAGTGCAGCTCGGCCAACACCTTGATTTTTCTTCTGACCTCCAGAACTGAGAAGGGTAAGTTTCTGTTGTTTTAAGTCACCAAGTCAGTGGCAATTTGGTAGCGCAGTCACAAGTATTAATCTGCTGGGTTCTATTTCACATTTTATTGAGCAGCTACTAATTGTGAGAACTGAGAAAGGATGATAGGTATTTGAAGATGAATTTCATCATCAATTCGGTAAGAACATATGAAGCACTTGAATATACTTCAGCTACTGAAAGATTTACTAACTTTTTACTGTAGACATGTAAGCATTATATGTTCTTTCCCAGATGATAGTAATTAGTTTTCCATACTTTCTGTTCTTATTATAATATTGCAGATCTTTTCAGTGACCTCTCTTCTCCAAACCCTCTACCATTTGGGTACTACCTGTCTCTGTCTTCATTTATTATAAAACTCCTTTTCCCATTATACCCACTTCATCTTCCTGAACTACTTTCAGTTCCTCCAATATACCATCCACTGTCTCATCACAGAGTCTGTCCATTTACTATCTCTGAAAACACTCTTATTTCCTCCCTGACTTTGAGGCTATTTAACATTCCCACACACTATGCTTCCATGGAAACCCTATACATCCTCTACCATTATCTTCATTATTACTTACTATATTAGCGGTCCAATATGTTTTCCCCAATTGACCACAAGGTCAGTGAAGACAGTGTGTTCATATTATTCATCATTGCTTCCTTATCACCTGCCATTATGAGTACACGGTTCACAAATTGTTAAATAAATATGTGTTGGTAACTGAATGATAAAATGACTGAATGGATGAACATTATTCCTTGCAGACTGAAATACCATCTTACATGTTTATTCGCTTTTCAAAATATGATTCATTTAAGTCAACATGATTTCGTTTCAACCCTAGGCACATAGAGTAGACCCTGAAAAATATTTCACTGTTGCAAAAAGACTCACCCAGATTTCAATTTCCTTCACTTCCATCACCTATATTTACTAAATTGGGTTTGTGATCTAAGACAAGTATATAGATAACCTCTGCTAATCTGTTCCCCCGCCCCAACCAGGGAGGGAATTCAATTATGATTCCACAAGAAATGAGATATGTTCAAAAGTTACAAACACCTAAGACTTATCTCCACTTGTTTTAGACAACATGCCTAGTTACTCACATGACACTCCTGTGCCCTGCATTTTATATGTTAGCCCGTTGTTGGAGTTGACGCCAATTTGATAGTGATCAAAATTTGTTCTCATCAATTGCCAACTCTTTGGACCTTCTGGAATTAGTTAGTGACCATAATTCATTTCTGGTGGAAAAGGCTGTATGCAACAGCCAGCTGTCTTAGCAGGAAGGAAAATGATTTGCTTTTTCAAATTGGCTTTAAAAAATGTATATTCTGCCAGACGGCCTCTGGGCATGTGTATGAAACATCGAAAACAGATACAACAATACACATGAAAGAGAAATAAATTCCCAAAGCAGGCTCCCCTAGAAGTAGCCAAGTGAGCTCTACTGATGGAACTGAATGAGCCTTCGAAACGTTACTCTTCTCAGCTATAAATGGCTTTCCTCTTTGAAAATATGGAGGAGGGGTAAGTATACACTGACCCGCTCTATGAATTAAGATTAAAAAACAGTGCCACACCTTTCTCAAAGGCTTTCTTATTTTAAGTGTCCTCTCTATTTTAGAAAAATATTGCACCACAGAAATACTATCACATATTTTCAGGAATCAACGAAAAGCAAAAATCAGCAGCTCTCTTAAAATTTAGAGATGCTTATTAAGTTAACATTTAACTGCAGTGACTCCTTTAAAATGTCTTTAACTTGCCATCTTTTTAATACAAATATATTCTTATACTCTGTTCAGAGGGGAATCTAGAATCCATATTTAATGTTCTGATTAATGATCATAAACAATGCTTCTAAGAGGTTTTTTTTTTTTTTTTACCTGTGTATAATCAAGTCATCTAGTTACCAGTAACTGCAAATGTCACAGATTTCAATGGTCTCTTTGGGACTTTTAATCTGTTTGCTTTTATAAAGAAGGTGATTTTATTTTTACATTAAGGAGGCATTAACATCATTAAATGGGCTCCCACTTTATGATAACTGCAAATGTCACATTGATCCAGAAAGATAAGAAAATGTGCTCATCTTTGGAACAAATATCCAAGGCATGAGCAGGCAACCCACACTATTTGCATTAAAAAACAAATTGTATAAATGCAGAAGATTGATGTACCATCTGTTCATGTCCTTCACTTTTCTGGCTCTTCTGTGTCGAGATATTTTTATGGAATAGTTACGTTTATTATTTTGAAAATGAGCCACAGGTTAAAGAAGTTTACGATCGGTAATATAACTCGCAGCTACTGGTTTAGTGGATTCCAGGTACTAAAGCATACATTATGTACACTTCGTACTATTCAATGCCTCTCTCTGTCACTTATGTGGTCTGATGTTCACACCAAGATAAAATGTATACAAAGCTAGACAGGATATTTAGGACCAAATTCAAAATATCTCACTAAGATGCCTCTTGGCAAAGAGAAGGAAAAAAGTCCTTTAAAAAATTAATGACTTCAAAGCCACTGGCAATAGGCATTAACTTGTTCTGTCACTCCCAAGGAAAACAAAGGAGTAAAACAGAGTAAATAAATAGCTCTTTGAGGGAAAGTATATTGGATTTTGAAAAATCTTCTAAGGCAAAACTTTCTTCTTTCAGTTTGTCATACCAAAATCACTAGCATATCTGCTAACATGAAATTTCATTTTCCTTCTGCCCCTCTTTAATCGCTAACACCAACAATATTTACTTCCATTTTGAAGTTGAAAATGTACTTGTTATCAGAGTTATCTGCAATAAAATGTAAAGTTCCATTGCGAGTATACTATGTTTTTGTTGACTGGACAACATAAGAAAGAAAAAAAGGTGGGGTGGGGGGCTGGTAATTGTGCTGGAGGAGGCAATGCTACAATAATCGCCCTCTGCTGGTAACTGCCTTACACACCAGAGGCCAGATTTTTTTTCTACCGTAGATTTCCAAATTGCAAAAGTTACCTCTTTTTGCTATGAAAAGTCTACATTTTGTGATTTACATGGCTAAGTACCATTTATTACACACGCATTTTGCATATGAATATTTATTAAAATTGATGGCCCTTCAAAGTCTGACTTTATGCTTTTGTCATTCTTGGTTTCTGATTAAAAAAGGAATGACCAAAATTTAAAAACTGGAAGGATATTTTCTGATTTCTGAAAAATTTTGAAACATTTTTGGCATAAAAATCAAAAGCTGTGATGAATTTTGTAACATAAACTCTCCCCATGTATTCCAAAGGATACCTGATTTTGTACATTCCTAACCACAAAGGAGGTTACCATTGTTGGAAAGCATAGATAACGATAGCAATAATACAGGTTTCTATTTCATTCCCTTCTCACTAAACCTATGAGGGAGCCATTGGAATAACTAACCATACCATCAATAAGAAACTTCTTTTAAGAAATTTAATTTTAGCATCTGCAATTTTGTTATCTTTTTCCCAAAAATTCCGATCTTTTTTGTAAGTGATACGATGGACTACATAAAAAAAAACAAAACTCACCTGTTTATAAACTTGGTCATGTCACTTGGCATGTCTGGGATCAGAGGAGATTATGCATCCATGAAGGTCCTCTGTAATTCACCTAGAATCAGAACATGTATTTAAATGAGGGTAGAGGGCTCAAAAAGATAGCATTACAAAGAATTAAAAAAATACACAGACTAGAAAGAAGTGCTGGCAGAGTTTACGAGAAGAAGAAGAAAAAGAAGGGGGAAATGTGTGAACATAGAAAAAGGCACTACAGAATATTTTAGAATACCTAAAATAGCAAAGGTATAAGTTTTCTTGATAATCAAATTGGAAAATAATTACAACCATTTTACATAGTCAAATACATATTAAAGAAAGAGAAAGGAAACTAGACACCTGACTTTTTTAATGTTAAAATTAAATCATTCTCTTAATCCTCATTTTCCTCAACTTCAGCTTTTTCTTAGAGTTGTTTTCATTTAACCCTAGACAATAAATTGGTCCACCCAATGACTTCCAGACAACAAGGATAAAGCTGACGATCAAGTTGGAAATGTGATATGGAAAACATTAGTAAAATAGAGACTTTGCTCATTATAGAACATAAGTGACCTTCATATTGTATATAGAAGAATAAAATGTTGTAATACAATCTGCCATAGCATTTTATAAAGGTCAGAGAAAATGCCTATAAATCCATATTTACTCATGAAAGGAATAGAATTCACTCTGAGAAGAAGTAATGGTTAAAACATTTTCTAATTGCTAATATTGGAAACATGCAGAAAAGTATATACACACATATATACATATTTTTCTCATTTTGAAAGTCTAAAGGAATATTTTCATTTGAAACCATACATTGATCAATGAAAAAGACTGAAATTGCCTATTGTAGCACATTCTTCCTTATCTGCTTGCACAATTCCAAAACAAAAATTCATGTTGCTTCTTTTTCTGACAGGAACATTTTTTATTAAATAATTACAAATGCATTCCATCTTGGTGAAATCCACAGTGTCTAGTTCTGGTTCCTCATGTCCCCATGAGAAGGCACACACACAGGACCTTGGGGACCTAGAATATAAAATGGATCTCAACACACTTTTCTGAATATACAATAATCTTTTGCCTCACCATCCTCCAAATTACAGTTGTGAATTTTTATTTTATGTAAAGAACACTAAAATTTCAGTTTATTGAACTTACATCCTGTTCTCTCTTTATTTCTTTCAGAGGTAGTATTTGGCTCTTTTCTCTCATGTTTTATTTAAAAATAATAGTATACAGCTGCAAAATATAGCAAGTATCCAGTACACAATTGAATGTTATATCTTCTTTAGTTAACTACTCTGTTTTGATGTGTAGTATCTTAAATCACCTACATTTCTTTAAAAACAATTTTAAAGATCTGTCTGTTCTATAAGACATAGAATAGGTAGCATTAGTTTATTGTAT